CCAACATGTGTTTCCCTAGCAGTGGTACTCCAATAGTCTAACACAGTGCCTGGTACATAATAGACTCTTAATAAATATTTATAAAATAAATTTAACAATTATTCCTTTAAAGACATCTGCACAGCCTTCTCAACCCTCACTGTCACACAAGCTTTCACATTCGGCCTCCCCTTCTAGACACACAGTCCCACAAACACAAAGTAATTAACTTACCACATATACCCCTAAGCTAAAGGACAACCCTTGGCCTTGGGGTCTCTCCCAGAGCGAGGAGGAAGCTATGTGGGATCCAAAGAGGCCTCCCCCTAGGGCTCCCTTCCTGTCTGCCTCTCCCCCAGCCCTAGCCTCAGCCCCAGCTGCTCTCCTTTTAATTGGAAGTTACGTGTGTGTGTGTGTGTGTGTGTGTGTGTGTGTGTATTTTAATTCTGGAGGCCAGAAGATGGTGCTGGGAGGGAGATTGCCTGGTGGCTACAGGACTAGAGAGAAAAGTCTGCAACTTCCCTAGGTATATGTGTATTCCATATAGGAGCCACTCATCCTGAGTGGAGTCTGAAAGTAGTGTTAAGAGTCCAGGCTCCCACCACCACTTCCAAACTTTTAGTGCCTCCATTTTTTCATCTGCAAAGTGGAGGGAAACATAAAAAAAATACCACAAAAATATCAAAGGGTGAAAGACAAGGTAATTATTGTGCTTGAAGGCACTTGGGCCATCTCAGGTGCTTTGTGAGTCCTATGTCTTTCTTCCCCTCCTCTTCCCTAACAGGGCTAGTCCAGTAGAAACATAAAATATGAGCTCTGTGTCAATATCCTTCCTATGAAAACTTTCCAATCTGCAGCTTGGTGCTCAGGTAACACTGCAAAGAGCAGCAGTATGTGTGGGTGGGAGGGAGGGATCCTGACCCTCTAGCCTAGTCTTTCTAGGTGAGACTTAGAGGGAAGCCCAGACTCTCAGCAACCACACTACTGGAGAACAAATTGCCAGGGAGGTCAAGTCTTAGTACCTTAGCAGAACTGGATTGGGATACAAGCAGATTTGTAACTGGAGAGAGGCTGGGGAAGGGCAAGGGCAAGCCAGACTATCTCTGAGTTGTTGTGGGATTTGGATAAGACATGGACAATTTTAGTGTCCCATCAGGCAGCTTTAACTTCTTCCAATCTTCGACTGAGCAGTAAGAGTAAAGACTCTTCCCAGGTCTCCTGGATGATTGGTGCCAAATCTGCAGAATTGGAGAGGTGGGTAAGACAGATGCTTAAAGGACTGGATGAGGCAGAGCTGGAAAGCCATGGCACTGGAAAGGTATATCTCTGAAGCAGTGAAGGGAGGAAGGGGGGAGTGGTTAGGAACACTCAATTGGTTTCTGCAAGGGACAGAGTAGTAAAGAAAAGCTGTTATGGAGATAACTGGGAAAAATAAGATGTTAACCACAGCAGGCAGAAAGTGTTTATGCTAATGCTGCAGTGCACCTTTCCCTCTTTTTCAGCTCATACAGGAAAAATAATTCTGTATTGGATTCCCAGAACAATCGCTGTCTGTAGGACTTTGGACAACTTCATTCACCTCAATTCATCTCAATTTTCGTCTTTTAAGGCATATAACACATGAACCACTGTATCCTGTCCTTTAAAATGTACACTGGTGGGGCTGGGAAGGTGGCTCAGTGGTAGAGCGCTTGCCTTGCATGCCTGAGGCCCTGGGTTCGATTCCTCAGCACCACATAAGCAAAAAGAAAAAAGCC